ACCAAGTCCGGCTCTTGCCTCAGGAAAAATATTCAAGCTGACCAAACCCTCGGTGATAGGCCTTTAAGAAGTGGTTAAAGGAAAACTAAGTCTGGTTCTAGCCTAAGGGAATACGGTAAAGTAGACCAAAGCCACGGTGATAGGCCTTACTAGTAGTTCTGATAAGAAAACCTCGTCCGGTTCTAGCCTGAAAGAATACAGTGAAGCTGATCATATCTACGTTGATAGGTCTTGCTGGTAGATCTTATCGGAAAACCAATTCAGATTTTGTTTGAGGGAAAACTGTCAAGGTGACCAAACCTACGGTGATATGATTTTGTAGTAGTTTTTATATAGAAATCCTAGTCAATATCTTGCCTCAAAAAATACAGTCTAGCTTACCAAACCCACGATGATAGGCTTTTCTAGTAGTTCTAAATGGAAAACCAAGTCCAGTTCTAATTAACCTAAAGGAATACAGTCAAGCTGATCAAATCCACGGCGAAAGGCCATTCTAGTGGTTATCTTTTGAAAACCAAGTCCGGGTCTAGCCTCTAGAAATACAGTCAAACTGACAAAACCAACAGTGATAGTCTTTTATAGTAAAGGCAAAAATATAAGGAATACAGTGAAGCAGACCAAACCCACGGTGATAGGCTTTCTTAGTAGCTCTTAACGGAAAACTAAGTCTGGATTTAGCCTCAGGGAATACAGTCAAGAAGACAAACCGATGGTGATAGGCATCTCAATTATTTCTTAAAAAACATGTCCGGTTCTAGCCTCAGGGAATATAGAGAAGCAGACCAAACGGACGGTCATAGGTATCTTTACTACTTCTCAAGAAGAAGAAGAAAAAATCCGTTTATAGCCTTAGAGAATAAAATGAAGCAAACCAAACCCACGTTGATAGGCCTTACACGTAATACTTAGCCCATAACCAAGTACTGTTTAAGCCTCAGAGAATATAGTCAAGCTGACCAAACCCACGGTGGTAAGCGTTTCTAGAAGTTATTACGGAAAACCATTCCAGATTATACGTTCAGGTAATAGAGTATAGCTGACTAAACCCACGACCCAAGTCAAATTCTAGCCTCTGGAAATACAGTCAAACAAACCCAGCCAGTCGTAGGCAACGTTTGTCCTAATATTCAAAAGAACCAAGTACGGTCGTAGTCTCAGGGAATACAGTCAAGCTGACCTAAACCACGACCTTTCTAGTAGTTCTTAACGGAAAGCCAAGTCTATTTCTTGCCTCATTGCATACAGTCAAGCTCATCAATGACACGGTGATAAGCCTAACTTATAGTTTATAAAGGAAAGTTAAGTTGTAACTCGAGGATTACCTTCAAGCAGATCAATCCAACAGTAATAGGCATTTCTACTATTTCTCAGGAATAAAAGGCCTTTTCAAAAATCAGGGATTACAGTAAAGCAGACCAAGCCCACGGTAATAGGCCTAAGTAATAGTTCGTAACGGACATTTAAGTCCGGTTCTAGCCTAATGAAATAGAGTCAAACTGACGTAAACTACAGTGAAAGACCTTTTTAATACTTCTAACACCAAGGAACACCAAGTCCTGTTCTAGTCTCTAAGAATACCGCCAAGCTGACCAAACCCACGGTGATATGCCTTTCTAGAAGTTCTAATTAGAAAACCAATTCAGGTTCTAGCATAAGGGAAAACAGTCAAGCTGACCAAACTTACGGTGATAGACTTTTCTAAAAAAAAACAGAATTCTAAACAGAATTCCAAGTCCATAATTAGCCATAATGAACACGGTCAAGTGATCAAACACACGGTGAAAGGCCTTACGAGTAGATTTCAATGTAAGGCCGGTTCTAGCCTCAGGGAAAATAGTCATGCAGAATGAATCCACGGTGATAGGCCTTTCTAGTATATCTTATTGGAAAACCAAGTCCTTTTATAGCCGCTGGAAATACAGTCAAACTAAACTGACCAAACTCACGGTGATAGTCCGTTCTAGTAGTTCTTAACGAAAAACAAAGTCCGGTTCTAGCATCAGGGATTACAGTCAGGCAGATCAAACGCACGGTGATAGGCATTTCTTTTACTAGACTATAGGGAATATTGTGTCGCAGACCAAACCCACTGTGATAGACCTTGCTAGAATTTAATAACGGAAAATCTGATCCGGTTATAACCTCTGGAAAAACAATCAAACTGACCAAACCCACGGTGATAGGCCTTTAAAAGTTCTTAACGGCAACCAGTCTCGGTTCTAGCTAATGAAATACAGGGAACTGAGTAAACTAAGTGAAAGGCCTTTTTTATTTCCCCTTAACGGAAACAAATTGTTTTAGCTCAAATGTTAGCCAAGCTTGATCAAAACACACAATTTATTATTCCTTTTCTGTTTCTTTATTGAATAAGCCAATTCATTCTACAAGGATAACTGTGAATGACCAAATTCGTCTAAGGCTTTCAAAGAAACGAATTTTTAACAGAATTCAAGTATAATTCCTATCAATGACACGCAACAATAATTAAAATTTGAGTAATTTATAGGCGGTTCTGTCGGGCAAATTAGTAAAAGGAAAAATCCCGGTCCCAGACAAAAAAAGACATGCCGCTGGAAATCTCCTGACCACTACTGTGATTCAGGGATTTGGTCTTCATTTTTTGCAAAGAACACCCTCTATAGTTGTACAAAAACGAATCTGCATCAACATCAAACAAGTGGTGTTGAAAGGGTTGGCTCTTGAATATGGTGATTTGTCAGAGTACATTTATATAGACAAAGAACAAATCGTCGATCAAAAAAATGGCCATGTCATGCGGAAATCTCCTGGACATATAGTTTGGGTGAGGGATTTGGTATTCATTTTGTGCAAAGAAGATCCTCCACAGTTGTACAAAAACGAATCTGCATCAAAATCAAACAAATGGTGTCGAAATGGTTGGCTCTTGAATATGGTGTTTTTTTCAGTACTTTTATATAGATAAAGAAAAAATCGTCGGTGCCATGCCATACGGAAAAATACTGATCATATAGTTTGGGTTAGGGCTTTGGTCTTCTTTTGTGCAAAGAAGACCCTCCAAATCCAAAGGTGTACAAAAACGATTCTGCAACAAAATTAGACAAATAATGTAGAAACGGTACGCTCAAGAATATGTTGTTTTTACGAAAATTTATTTAGACAAAGAACAAGTCGCCGGTCCAAAAAATGGCCATGCAATGCGGAAAAATACTGAAAATATAGTTTGAGTTAAGGCTTTGGTATTCATTTTGTGCAAAGAAGAGCCATCAAAGTTGTACAAAATCGAATCTGCAACGGAATCAGAGAAACGGTGTTTAAACGGTTGGCTCTACAATATAGTGTTTTTAACGAAATATGTAAGACATTATATACCAAAAGAACTAATCGCCTATCCAAAAAAGCGACCATATTATGCGGGCCTCTTGCAATCACGTTAGCCAAATTGTTCAGCCTTATATCGCTGTGGGGAAGATTCTATAAACCATCACAATTTATTTTCTCATTCAAGTACAGAGCGTTCATTTTACAATTGCTTACTGTGAATGACGGCAATTCCTCACCTGTCTTGTGTCCATTTGACGGAATTCCTGTAAGAACTATCTCAAAAGCGCAGTTTTGACTAACACGAATTAATTTCATTCCTATCAATTTGTGATCGCAAAAACAATTAAAATGCCAATTTCAGGAGTGCCTTGTGTCCATTATATAACAAATCGCCGGTCAAAAAATAACCATGCCACTCGGAAATCTCCTGAACATATATGTTGAATTAGGGCTTTGGTTTTCATTTTGTACAAAGATGACCCTCCAAAGTTGTACAAAAAGGAATCTACAACAAAATCAAACAAATTATGTTGAAAGGGTTGGCTCTTGAATATTGTGTTTTTTCAGTACATTTATATAGACAAAGAACAAATCGCCGGTCCAAAATATGGGCATGCCACGCGGAAATTTCCTGGTTATAAATTTTGGGCTAGGGCTTTAATTTTTGTACAAAGAAGACCCTCCAAAGTTGTAAAAAACGAATCTTCAACAAAATCAAACAAATGGTGTTGAATCGGTAGGCTCTTGAATATGGTGTTTTTTCAGTACATTTATATAGACAAAAAACTAATCGCCGGTTCAAAAAATGGCAATGCCACGCGGAAATTTCCTGGGCTAAGGCTTTGATTTAATTTTGTACAAAGAAAACCCTCCAAAGATGAACAAAAACGAATCTGCAACAAAATCAAACACATGGTGTTGAAAGGGTTGGCTTTTGAATATGGTGTTTTTTCACAATAATAAGATAATGTGTCATGCGCAACACATGCACCTCTATCTCCTAGGTCAAGGCCACACCCAGAGGCCAACAATTAACATAATCCGTTATAGGGTATATTTTGTGTCCGGTCTATAACTTGTTCATAGATCAAGGGATTTTGTAAATATTTGGCACAAATGTTCACAATAATGATATGTTGTGTCATGTGCAATAACCAGTCGCCTACACTAAGGTCAATGCAAAGAATAATATATAGTCTGTTACAGGGTACATTATGAATTCGGTCTGACAAGGTCACACTTACAATTAAAAGATATCGTAGTTTGTGGTTTCGTATCCAGAGAATGACGTCAAAAGTATAAGAGATAAACTCTGTATATGATAATTGTTCCCTGCCTTTTGGAAGAGAAAAAGGGGGATGTAGAAATGGACTCCATTTGTCCCATCAACAAATTTTGAAATAACTTAGCTAAAATGTTCTTTTAGGCATATTAAGACAGCCTGTCTTACGCAACTGTTAGATGACTTTGAACTAAAGGTTCTGAGCCATACCTCAATCTTTTTAAAGTCCGTGATTCTACTCAGGTGTCCGTTCGTGCCTGAACTAATGCACAGAAGGGCCCCAGAGGTCTTTTCCAACCAGTTAAGCTCGAACGTCGCCATATGGCATATTCTGTCTCGGTTTGACGTAAAACCAAATCAATAAATCAATCATATTCTTAAAAAAACAACAAAAAACCAAAACAACAACAATGAAAACAATGTGAAAGGTATATTTATTACGTTCACATATAACAATCTTTCTAAACCAATCTAAACATTTATGTCACATTATTCTATTTTAGTATAACATTAAGGCCTATCATATTTTGATGTCTATATATTGCAAATACGCTCAATTTTATCAGTATCTCAGTTTCTATAGTCCTTATGTAACTTTAATGTTCGTAACACAATTTAACTTATTTCAACATTGTCCTGATTTTTATGGAACAATGCATTATCAAATCCAAGTGAAGGAGATGCAAAATTACATCGGGGTTTCTTGAATGGCCATGATTTTATGATGTACACGACGCTGCCAATGGTGAATAATAAGCCAATAACGCCTATAATGATGCCAGCTATCTGTCCCCCAGTCAAACCAGTGTCGTCTGCAGCTGAAATCACAATCGAATTGATCGGTCTGTCAATGCCTATACAATTGCATTTGAAAACCATCTAAATAAGTTGAAAAAGGGTTTTTATTAAGAATAATTAAGAGAATTTTGAACATCGTTGACTTGCATAAAACTTCAAAAAGTCCCAATAAGGTAAGATTTAAAGTAAACCATTCTAATCTCATTTGTGAGATATGGACTTTTCAAATATCAAATGATCACACTACAAAAAGGGAAACAATTAAAACGCTTGATTACATCTATAAGAGTTAAAACAGTAATAATGTTATCATGAATATAGAGAAACCTAGGTCCGCTTTGATACTATGGTGAGTATGTTGCAATTTAAACTGTGTTGTCAGTGTTGATAATAAAGTTGAATTTTCAGCTTGACTTGTACTTGACAGGACAAGAGCGATATCTGCAATACATAGGATAATTTTACGAAAGAGGAAATGAATAAATTGTACAAAAGAAATCATTTAAAATATTATAACAAACATTATATAAAACAACAACAACAAAAACACGAAAAAACAAAAACACAAAGAAACACGTAATACTATAAAGATTACGAAACTTAGTTTTTATTTTGACATTTTCGGTGTACATCACATTAAAGCCTGTTATAATGGTCGATATTCTGTTTGATTGATTGGTTTATTCGCTATGTATATTTAAACACGTACGGAAATTTCCCCTTGGAATCTCGGATCATTTAACTAGCGTAACGTATACAGAATCCCGTAGTACGTATTTACCGTCCTGTTATATAATTAAGGTATCTAGGCCATTCCGTTTTTTTACCGTTATCTGATATCCCCTTTATCATATCAATCATAGAACAAATGTCATTATATTACTAACTCATGTTCTGCATTTATATATACATGAATATGTATATGAAATAAACACATTTTTGACATATCTGAACTTTTATTTATGGCGTATATGATGACGTCATTTGTGCCTATTCGGCATACAGGAAAAGTGAGTGTTTACTAAAAGTCTTATTTATTGTAATTTAAGAATGAAGAATTTGATATGATATGTTTTTCTGCATAAATTTTATTACTTGCGCTCAATCTATTCATTATAATAAATACACCTAGTATTTTTATTTATAATATTCATCTTGTGTTCATCATTGTATGTTCATAGAATTATGCCTCCTAACATTTTTGGTAGACATATTGTTTTTGCCTTCGCCGCCTGTCCGTTCGTCCGCATTCAGCTTGTTCGACTTTCACAGCTCAAACTTCTGCCTGGATTTCATTGAAACTTCAGTATCATCCCTAGTTGTGCATATCGCTGGAACATTCCGCTCCGCTGCACAAAGGCCACCAGAGCTATGATTAGAAAATATTGTCCGGCTTTCACAGGTTGAACGGCATGTAAGTGATCAGTACTATCCATTCCTAGTTGTGCATATCGTCGGTATGTTCCACTCCGCTGAACAAAATGGCTGCCAGAGCTATATAAAGAAAAACATTGTTTGGCTTTCATGGGCTGAGCTGCACGTGGGATTTCAACGAAACTACTCAGGAGTGATCAATACAATTGCTAGTTGTGCATGTCACCGGCACGTTACGCTTTTCTGTACAAATTGGCCGCCAGAGCTATAAATTAAATATAAATATTTTGTCTGCTTTCACAGGTCAAACTGCTGGTAGAATTTCAATGAAACTTCACAGAAGTGATCAGTATCATCCTTAGTTGTGTATGTCGCTGGCATATTCCGCTTTTCTGCACAAAATGGCTGTCAGAGCTTTAAATAGAAAAAATATGGCCGTCTTTCAAAGATCAAAGTGCTGGCGGAATTTTGACCAAACTTCACAGAAGTGATCAGAGCCATAGTTTTGTTACCTTGTTTTGGAGACATAGGTTTTTGGGACAAAAAACCTTTCTAGTTTATCATATTCTTTACGTTGATTACATTCTTTGCCATGTGATAATGACGTAATGAGAGATACTGAAATTTGAATTATAATATTACCTGCAGGTCCTTTACAAATATAAAAATGTTTATCCATACAGGACCCTACTCGCCACTGGAGTGTATTTAGCACCATATACACACAGCCCTGTCTTCTGTTATTGTCATCCTTGTCAAAGTTAGAGTAAGCAACTTTGCTACCATCTGTCCACATTATTCCTGGCTCATCCCCTAAATTGTTCAAAATACTCCATTTAAAAATGATCAAAATTCTTACAAAAAGATCCCTTGGGAGAAATGAACAGAACTTAAAAATACGCGAAAATAGGCAGACTATGTTTGATCAAGACTATTGGAAAATATCTCATTCTTAATGCAACGAATGTAGCACTTCAACACAAAAAGTGCTGTAAACAACGATCTGAAGGACCAGAAAAAATACTACAAGACTTGAATTAAGACAACACTAACACAATATTTCTGATGTTTAAAAATATAACATTTCACAGTTTAAATGTCAACTCAGTAAGGAACATCATATGTTTTCAAAACACTTTACCAAGCAGAGTATGAAATATGACAACGAACATTATACCTGTAAGCAATGAAAGACAAATCCAAAAATAAGGGTAGTGTCCGTGATATCTTTCCGATGAATATCTTTGTAATATTCGTGTCGTTATGTTGTACTCTTCGTCTGCGCTATGTATACTTGCAAGAGCCATGCCGTATTCGGAACATTTTGTGTAAGGAAAGCTGGTTAAATCTAAAACAGTTGCAAAGCAGTAGTTTTTGTAGAGTATCCAAGATTTGTCTCGACATGTGTACGTATACGTAAATTATGGGACTTAAAATTGATTAACAAACTTCATGCCCGTTTTGGAAATTGTAGAGGAAATGTTTCCGTATACTTACCAAAACATGAACCGAAAATGTGCTTATTGAATTTTACAAGACACTTTTATTTTTGATACTACTTTTAATATAAATATATACATGTGTTTATCATTTATTTTAAATTTAGTTTGATGGCATAACACAAATTATTTCCTTTGTAGAAAAAGTATCGCTTTAAGTATCTCCGACATATAATCTTTCAAAACATTTTTAAAAAATGAAGTGTAAAACAAACTTTCATTATGATACTATATGATAATAAATTCTATTTTGTTAAATAATTGTAATTAATAACCATTCATTGTGTCTTTTATGCAAAAAATATCCCCAAATATTTTCGAATTACACAAATCTCTCACAGCAGCAAAAAGACCTCTCGCATGCTTCTTTTTAAAGAAGCAAACTTGTTAATATATCATGCAGTTTGTGCAGACTTACATTTTTGTTTTGCCTGTATTTCTAAAGAAAGTAGTTGTGAATGTGAAAGTATTAAAATTGTTACTGTAGCAAAATTTTGACTTTCATACAAATTACTAAATCATTAACACCGTTCGTGATTGGCAAAAATTAACAGAAGAAAACGTTAGTTCAGGTTAATGATAATGGAAATAAAAATAATAAAAAAAATAAATAAAAAGCTTTACAAAATAAAAGCATTTCTAGGGCTTTATGGGCCTTTATGAAAGATTTTTGCGCGTTAGAAACAATATTTGTACATATGATTTACTTAAATGGCACCCAATGTAGTATAAAGTGTGGCGCACATTTTTACCCATTTTCCGAGGAATTCAGTACACACAAGATTTCAAACTAGTTCTGTTCCTTCTCGTTGTTTGAAATAAATATATATAATTAATCTTATAGATTTACTATTGCTAAAGTATTGAAATAATGAATTGATGTTTTGACATATTTTCGTAAAGTTATATTAAGCGCACTGCTTTTAAATTGAAACGCCCCACGCTGTTTTTGTTGTAATTTATATGTAATAATTCACTTTAAAATGTAGCTTTTTTGTTGTTGTTTTAGTTGTTGTTGCGTTTTTTTACGGAAAGCGGATTAATTTTTCTCATAGATTAGCCTGGGTTCCAATCTGTCGATTTTTATGTGCTTCTTGTCGGCAAATTGACATATGAGCCGCGTCATGACAAAACCAACATAGTGGGTTTGCGACCAGCATGGCTCCTGACCAGCCTGCACCTCCGCGCAGTCTGATCAGGATCCATGCTGTTCGCTTACAAACCATATAACAAGTAGAGAAACTGAGAGCGAACAGCATGGATCCTGATCATGTCATGACGCGGCTCATATATTGATACTATCAAAACCAAAGATGTTGTGTTACCTATGACGATCGAGTATTAAATAGCGCGTAAGTTATGAATAAGCAAACAATATATCAACGCATGAATCACAGGCTACTTATACATATATATACGTATATCTCATATAGTTGTAGTATACTAAATAACTCCCCATCCGGATTGCAAATTACGTAATTACAGTTCGGATTCTAGATTTTTTTAAAGATTTAAAATGCATAATTAATACACCATGCAAATTGTGCAGACTGTGCAGACTGAATTATTATATGTACACTGTATATTGCAGTTTATCTTAAAATTTGATAACTTAAACATTAGTGCTTTTCATCCACGGTAACTTTTAGTCAATGTCGCCTTGTCTTGTTGATCGTTTTTATATTCTATTGACTATTTTTTTTCTCTTTTTAAAATTGTTTTTCCGGAGTCATGACCACGGTAACTTTCCTGTGTCCTTGATTTTATACCATATGGGTTTCTTCAAAGAAATGTCTAAATTTATGTAAAATCTAGTTAAAATATTACGATTTTTCCAATATTAATGTGAAATAAAAGCGCATGTATAAAGTCCCTTTATAAGCGATTGACATTAAAAGAAAACAAATTGAAATATGTTGTTTGTTTTTTTTTATTCTGAAAAAGTTATTTCATAAAAATTAATGTGCTAAGCATGTATACATGTAAACAGTGATCGCCAGTCTTGACGTTACAGTAACGTCGTACGACAGCCCTAACCCTGTCGTAGAGCTGCGACATTTTTTACGACGTCGTAGGCTACGACAAACGGTAATAAAACGGTCTTAACGTTCTGCGACATGTCTGCGACAAAAAACTAGCCTACGACGTGTCGTAGAGCGTTGATAAAACGGCCCCCAGTTACGGTTGTAACAGCTGTAGTGGATGAAGTGGAAGCGCTTACACCTGAAATAATAATGATGTGTAGACAACGTTTTTATATTGATATTCATTCTTATATACTGCATCATCATCCTTTGAAAATTTTAAAAGGATTGGTTAACTTTTTTTAAAATGAAAAAACTAATGTTTACTTCTGGGGATTTGTAAGTCCATTGAAGAATATCATTCCCGACATTTTAAAGAAAATATTTTAGGCATATTTAAGGTTTTCTAAACTATTTTTTTTTAAATTGAAGGCTTAATTTCCGTTGTTGTTTTCATTGTTCACAGAAGTACATGAACATTTTGTCCAAATTAACACTGCTCAAGTATGGTTGTAAATTTGTTCAATCGTCTCTGAAAATCATTTACACCTTTACTAAGATTACCTGAAAATGCATCTATATTTACTGCTGAAGTTAACGCCATTCTTCTTGCAGTGCCATACATTTCACAGCACGATTGTCATATTTTTTTCCAAATTCACTTTCCATGTTATTTTTATTTAAAAGTAGGAAGTCAGGTCCTTTACAGATCAAATAAGAATTAAGAAACATTTTTGCGATTTCATAATATCTTAAAAACATGTTGGATCCCAGGCCACATAGAAATATGAGGAAATGAAAAAGTATATATTTTGGCTAAAGAATCATAATTCTTAACCACTAGAATTATCAGGAATTACAAAAAGGGATTTTAAACCCGCAATAAGTAAACCTATTTCATCTGAATTAGGACAAAGCTGTATTTAAAAAACTTCATGATGTCAACCCATGCCTTGATAAATCAACATCTCCATCTCTCCTTAACTGTCATGGTCAATTTGTTCATCTTAGATGCATACTAGAGTTACACATTCTAAAATTTTAACACGAGACGATGCTCCATTTTGTAAAGCTTGCAATGAATATTTTACTGGCAAACATTTCTTTCTTGATTCCCATGATCTTCACATGTTCGTGATAGAATTTATCGGTTCAATACTTTAAGAGGACTTTTTGGCTCAGTTCCATTCATTACTTAAAGGAAGTAAACTTGTATTCTTAGATTAGAAACAAATTCGCCAAGTAACCGTTTTATATTATCAGTTATCAGATTTGCAACTAGTTATATGGCCCTCTATGAATGGTTGTTTGCATACATAACCAAAGTCGCTAGGCAATGGTTACATAGCATACAAGGGTTTATAAACAGTCATGTGGCCTGCCATCAAGCTTTAAAACTACTTTATAATTACAACGTTACAAACGGTCAATATCAGTATTGTTATAAACAAACTCATCTAAAGTCATGCTCTCCAATGATGATAAAAATTGAAATACATGTATATAAAATACCAAATGGTAAGACAAAGTTGCTAGCTTGACAAACTACCTTTAAGTTTTTCAAGAATTCCCAAAATGGTGCGAAGCCTTGAACACTTAATGATTTAAATGAGATATTTGTGATTCTTCTTCAAACATGAATACAAGTTATTGTACGTAGTAAATTTTCTTACTGTTATCTATTTTGCAAATAACTGCACGGTTTTCGCTGCATTCAGCACTTGACAAGATATTTGTCTGGCTATAAAGACATCCTGTTGATATCGAAGTTCGAGCAGGTACAGTTGGACTCGATCCATCATTCCATTGTAAATTGTTCTATAAATTGTTGAATATTAACACAGAAAGATAAGAGATGCCTTTTGAGAAAAAAACACAATTTGATTATTTATCAAAACTCTAGATATTGATCTCGTACAATGTTTATTGAAGGTTTTCTACAACAGTTTATCAAGAGTACTGAAATATATTTTTTTGATTAAGCAGTGTCAGTATGAGCAACATTTATTTACTAGACTTTTTTACGTACATTAAAAGGTAAGTTGTATTTGTTTTGTTTCCATTTGAAACCGAAAATGATGTATTATTCTTTTGTTACCAGAATAAAACCGGACCAGTCTGCACATCCGTATATTCTGACAAGCTCTTCATTGTTGAATAGTCAACTTCAAATACAGAATGTTCTAAAAATGTTTATATAAGAATCGCAGCTGGTAAATCAGTAAAAGAAATAAGAAAAAGCTTACATCGTTTAAAGTTCCCCCTACCCAAACTTCAGTCAGGTCGACAGAGCCTAACAGCACCCTTAACAGGATGAAATCAACTGGATTAGCAATTGAAATCATTTGGGCACCATCACTTGAACATGACTGCAGACTTTGGTTCCAAGATTGTGTTGCGGCTGTCACCTTATAGCATATCTGTTTCAGTAAAATATACCCGTTAGGACATACACTCAGAATAGGCATCGAAGGGTCTGAAACATATACAAAATGACAGTTATATTGTATACGAGATTTGTTTATATATCTGTGAAAGTAAACAGTTATTTGGGGCCCACAAAAAATTTAATATGATATTACATGACTAAGGCCCCTTATTAAAATGGTTTCTTTTATTTTAATGATACCTTTGAACAAATACATGCTTATATAAAAAGAGATGAAAACCTTTAAATGTTGAACACAAAAATCCTCTATGAACAGAGCATTTTACGTCGTTCCATAAACCAAGATTAGCATCATCTGTCCACATTTCAACACATGGCTCCTTTAAAACAATATATTATCTTTTTAACACATTATCCTTGGTGTGATATGTAATTATGTGTTAAAATGATCAAATACGTCTCATTTAGAATAATAAAATCAAGAATTTATGTAATTAAATAGATAGATAGATGGATAAGTAAAAAAGTCTAACTTAGGAAATCCTACACCTTACCACATAGCCATTGTAAATTATCAACAGACTGATCATAAATGATATTATGACCTCTAAACGAACCTTTATCCTGCTGAATTATGAATATGATTTTTGTTGTAATTGTTTTTTTTAACAATTTCACATTGTTTTCCATTTCTTACAAAATATCCATTTGAATTTGAAACATTCATTTACCAACAGGAAACTTCAAACAACAGAAGTCGTTATATTTTCGACTAGAATTATCCCTTAAAATGATATATTTGTTATAAAAAGTAGGCATTTGTCATATTTGATTGAGATTATAATGTGTTCTAGAAAGACCAAAACATTTAATATAAAAAGTAGGCATTTTCATATTTGATTGAAATAATAATGTGTTCTAGAAAACCAAAATACGAATAGATAAATAAATTAAAGAACATAAAGTTACATGTGCGTTGGCATCGTAGTGATTACTAGATGGTTCATTTGTTGCCCAGTTTGAGTAGTCCAGGGGAGAATTATCTGCCCAATCAAAATGACCGTCAGTATTTAAATCTTGCATTCCTAACCAGACTGAAGTAGATATTCCATAAACGTTCAAAGCTATGAAATCTGAAAAAAGGGAAGGAGAGCAAAAAGTATTGATGATTTAACGATTATGAAGTTATATACTTCATATTTGGCATATGAAAGCCATCGAGTGGTTACATGTGTACCACAGAGACTACAAATTACATTTATTAAATAGAAACATTATGACTAGTCCATATTTAAGGGCAGTCGCATTGACTGGAACACATCTATATAATACAAGCAAAGGAACGCAAAATACAGGGACACGAAGCCTTTTGTTGGCGATATGAAAGTACAATGATGAAAACTCGAAAATACGAAACCACGACTATTTAAGTTCAAAATAACGAAATCATGATGATGAAAGGTCGGAAGTACGATGGTAGATATCACAATCGTGTGTTTAAACTTTTCATCATCGTACGTGCAACATTTTAACATCGTGGTTTCCTCGAACGACTTTTCACCGTCCTTATATCATGTTTTCGTTGTTCGAAATAGTGTATGACGCGTTGGCCCTAACGGGACACCGTGGAGGTCAGATAAAAAGTGGAAATTGTGTGTAAGGACAATTTGGCCGGAATGAAAGGAATTTTCTGTTGGGGAGATGTTAGTCGTTGTGGGAGATGTCTAGTCGTTGTGTCGTGAGTATTAACCAAGTTCTAGGTCAAAGGTCAAGGTATAACCTAGAGATCAACTAACAACGCTTGTCAAGAACAAAATGTGTTCATGAATAAAGAGATTTTAACAAATCTTGACAAAGCAGTTCATCATTGCTAGGCGATGTTTTACGCACAATATCAAGGTCCCTGTGTATTAGCCAAGATCACATTTAAAAGTCAAAGTTCATATGAAAATACGTGACTTGATTATTTAGTAGACATGAATCGATGCAATATATCAAAATGTTCACCAGCATTCGGCCAGTCTTTCAAGCATAATAAAGGCTCATATATAAATGACAAAAGATACAAGATGAAATGTCTAAGCAGCATTCATTTAGTATAGAGCATATCTTCTAATTTTACATAAGGCTTAGTATTGTCAGCATTATTCAGGCCAATATATACAAGGTCAAGGTAAGCAGAGAAGAATAATTAGATGGAAAGATACTATTGCGTTCTATAATCCATGTTTTATATATTTTTAAACTTTATAAGACGCAGCGATGCACACAAAAATCAGGCCTCAATGCCACTGGTCAAGGACACAACTTCTTAATTTAAAAATAATTGTCATATAACTCCGCAAAATGTCCGTAAATGTAAAGCATATAGCTGTGCGCAAAGTTTATTTTTTGTTCAGGTAATGTGCAGAGGAAACCGTTTATATGATTTAAGTAATCACAAATATGTGATTTGATATAAATGCTCACAACTGTGAGAGTGTGTCTGTCGCATTATGTAACAAATTAAACTTTTTGTTAATTAAGCTCAAAAGGTATAGAAAGCACTAGAGCAATTCATGAAAGAGAGTTATGATTTTTTATGAGAACTATCAATGTTTGAAAGATCAAGTTGTTATCTCTATTACTTTTTGAAATATGCCATTGCAAAAGATCAGTATTAGATATTTCAAAGGAAAATAACTTAAATTATTCAAAAAAGAGTCATGGTTCTTTTAGGCACTGCTTTTCTCCTTTATAAGATGTACAAACATATGAAGATTTATGTTATAAGCATATATAGTTTTAGGTTCACGTAACAGTTAAAGTGTGACAGAAGGACGAAAAAATAGACAGAAGAAAGGACGAATAGTTTAGCGGACAATGCCAAACAGCTTTCATTCAGCCTTGGTTTATTCGCAAGCAATACCTTTTTCGATTTCAGAGTGAATACTTGGTAGATGCCCTCGTATCATTTCGCATTTATCTTTTGCATGGGCCCAGTATGTTTTGTCATCAAAATTAAAGTAGAAACATTTGTTGCCTGCAAAATAAAGCAAATTAGAATTAAATTTGTAAAAATTTGAGTAAGAAATAAATTAGGTCTTCAATTACTATTGTATTTAAAAAATCAAATAAAGCATAACAGATAAAAGAAAAAGTGAATATAATTGAAAACATAAAACAAATCAAAGCAGTCGATACCTCGTTAATTTTACTTTTTTTCAAAACTTATTGCAAAGAGTAGAACTCCACAAGTCAATTTTATGTAATGATGTAATGATAGCTTGAAACATGCACTACATCATCAAATAAATAAATGTATTATTATGGACTAAAGACATAACGTATTTCAAATGGTTACACCAAGGAAAATATCATGCCGGTAAAATGTGTGTTTCAGTCAACATGTAAGTACTTGAAAGCTCAATAACACTTTTAATACTTAAAGGGGCTACACTAAGGTTTTCTAACATGACGGGACAGAACATTTTGATTGACGGCTCAAAAATACGATTTTCATTTTATTTCTGAGTATATTTCGCAAAAATCGTTTGCATATTTTTCTGTTATTAGTGCCCCTTAGTTGACTTATGTAAACTTTATTTGAATCTAAGTTTTCAGACTTTTAAACCTTAGTATAGATTCTTAAACAGTTATAGTTATTGACTCAATTTTTTATTTTTTATACTGAATAAGAAATATTATTGTGGTTACGGTAGACAATACCGAATGTGTGGTTGAATCCTTCTGGACATCCTCCATTTATTACTACTTTTGCTGGTGTTGTTGTCGACATGGTATCACGATCCTTTCTTTTCATGCAAATATACGGTCTTCGGTCGCTACATGGATAATCGTGCCATGATCCTAAACAACAAATTTACTCGGTAAGTTAATTATTAGTCATTTCTGCAACAAAAATTGCAAATAGAAAGAGATTTGTATTCAAACCGCTAAAAGAAATGAAACAAATATTCTTCTATACCCGTCTTATGAATTTTATACAATAGAAAACTAAAATGATAATATTGATTAATTACCATGATAGTAAAACGTGACACACCTCTCTCCGCCATAATTTGGTTGCCCGCTTGCCCAATTTGTAAAATCAACGACAGATCCATCGCTCCAACTGAATAAAGTTATATCTTTAATTAAAGTATTAGTTAAAGAGATTCCTTAACTTGAAAATTAAAGTGGTACCTTTTATTCTAAACTAATTTAATATTCATTTTGCTAACCTCATGAAAAGTACATTTGTATAGTTATTTTTAGTTAGCTGTTTGGTAGATAAGAAGAGATCATTTATGAAAATAATATAGTATAAAATGTTTCAATTTTACAACGATGTTTCATTTTTACATTATTCGACCGATTATTAATATGGTTATGTCAAAGTCTTTTGAAAATAGTTAGGCTCCTTTTAATACCTTCTTGATTTGCGGTACAGTTTTGCCTTGCTTTGAATTTGACAAAACATGTCATATGAATAAAATGTTGATAACAAACGGACAGAAAACGATCCTAAAAGCTTGTACTGCCATTGCCTGACAGGGCTAAAACCGAACTAACAATCAACATGTCATAATGTATTCAAAATAAATGCGAACTATTTGTTCTAATTATCTCTATATAATAGTTTGGATTGTTTGTAATAAATGTTAAATGATAATAGTATTATAGACTAATTTTAATTAGATTTCATTCTATTCATCTTTTTATACGTCAAAATAGAATTGAGCAACATTTGAATAGGTAGCGTACCTAAATCTATTGTCGAGATCTAAGTCATTAAAACCAATCCAATACACACCAAGTTCTTGTGATGCCTACAACAAGAAATACCTGTTCATATGACAATATAAGAGAAAAACACACAATACTTTTATCTAATTGAAATTGTTCTCTTTTGTCAAATATGGGAAGAAAAGCTGTTAATTTTCTGTAAGCATACTCTCTCGCGAAAGGAAACCAGGGTGTTTGTCTTTAATACAACCCTTATTTCGCCAACAATACATGGAATATGTAAAACCCAATAAGGAAGTATGTCAACATCAAATAAAATTCGTATTGTTTTAATAATGAGCACTATCTCGCATAAAAAGGATGTATGAAATATACGTATTCAGAAAACTGTTGAAAGATATCGACAGCGGTTTGCTTGTGGATTACGATAATTCCCGAACCTAGTTGTTATTTCCCGATTGTTAAGAGCTCATGATTAACACTAATTTATATACAAACCATGCTTAGTAAGAAACGATTTTTCTCTTCAGAATGAACGCTGACTAAATTACTGCCTTTGTCCAAGCAGTTTGCATTTGCTTCATGCCAGGTTAGTGGTTCATTATAACCAAAAAAGTAACAATAGTCACCAAAGACTTTCCACCCGTCATCAGGACTACTTTCATCACACGCTGGAATAGCATAAAGATGGAATTCAATATTGTGTTTCGAACATTTCTTTAAAGGAAATTCTTACATAAATTAATATTGTACCGCCTATTGGAACACTTTTCTCACGCATGCAACAATTCGCTTTCTGAAAAGGTTTTTTAATACTTTAAATTTTTATGCTTGAAAAAAATCTTGATTTACTTTAGTCATCTTTATTTTTATTTTATTTTTAATTATATAGCATTAATGCTTAATAACATAACATTACATGATACTAAGAGATGAATTAAAGTTAACGTAAATACCTTGGAAAGTGCTTATCTTAGGCGGATCTTTATTTACGCTTTTTCCTGCAATTAATATATAATTTGATTATATATAACACGTAGCTATGGTATATAAAATACGTAGCTATTTAGTTATAAGTAACGTCATTGCTTCTTTGAAACCAAATGTATAAACATTATTTTCCATGACATATTATTTTTGAAGAAACTGTTTTTTCGTTGAAACGAATTAAAAAGAAATCATTCAAATAAAAATTACAAATCTTGAAAAAATGTTAAAGTCTTTTTGTTTCCACATGTAGCAACAGTAGTTTACATCAGTGGTACAGCGATAAACAACAATGGCAATATAGCTACATTGACTTAGGTTTAAGTGAAGTCAAAAGTGTTCAAAATAATTTTCTATCTAACAATGTGGTCAAAAGGAAAATGTCTCTAGTTACTTATCATGATAAAAAGTGATGGTGCTAGTGATAGTTATTTATATATCAAATAATTAAACACATTATATACTTGACCTTATCGAATATCTGATATAATCAACAGAAAAATGTAAATCATTTGACAGTTTAATGAATAGATCCCTGAATGACCCTAACTTAACTAATTCAAATAATCAGATAAGTGCATTACAATTATAATTTCACCATAAAAGACTTGTTAACAAAAAGGCATCTGAAATGTTTGTGGTTAAATCTATTGTTTTTCAAATAAAAGGTCAGAGGGATCTACCAACTGAAATATACTAAAACATTTTAATTGGACAAAGCCTCCTTGACCAAGTGGTAAATCTCGCTGACTTTGAACTACTTATCCCTCACTGTTGATTGCTCGAATCTCGTCGGGGACATTGGGTTTTTTTCATGTGTGAAACCTAGCTTACCAAAGGTTAATGGATCCACTCGGGCGCTTGCTACCTTCTTAAATTATGAATGTGAAACTTTAAGGCTTTCTTCACCAGGAAAGTTGGATAGTCGCCATTTAAATTCTACTGGTCAATGTGAATATGGTTGAATAAACTAAACTTTATCATATTCGTTTAGTGTTCAATATAATGGCAATATAAGTAATTCTTGAATTGGTAAGTGTATTATTAAATTATCATGTATCAAATGAATCGAACGTACCTCTTGGTAATTTGCAAATGTAACGTCTCACAAAGTAACATCTGACATCGTTCCAAAGTCCGTTACCTCCCATAATAACTGCACAGTCCTCGTCAGATTCAAAATCGTTTGGTTCATTATAATTCCAAGACGAATACAGAGTCGGGGATCCATCTTCCCAAACAAACACTAAAGTGTATTTCAAAAATTAAATACAAACATAATAACCCATGCTCTCACCTATTTCGATGTCAATTTCAAATCTTAGTGCTTAAACAATTTTACAAATGTTTGTCAAACCACGATACATAAAGGGCTAAGAGCGCATCTTAAAAATATTTTATGTCATTTTGTGTCAAAGAATGCGTAAGAGCGCAGACATGAAGCTAGTTTTGTTTTGGTTTTTGACATCGGGCGGACAATCGTTTCAGTTGGCTTATGTCCCTTTTTCTTGGGAACAAGCAAAGACAAACTAATGAACTTCCAAGTATAATAAAGAACATGAATTCATGCTTGAAAGACAAAACACTCTTTTATATAACTGTCATTGCCTTCTTGGAAAGCAAATATGACGAAAATGTTTGGCTATTTTCACTGGATCGTTGAATATGGGTTAAGGTAGTGTCTATAAAATATCAGAACCACACATCAAGAATTCATTGCTTTATTCGCAAGTGCAAATTAATAGTCAATTTAGTTGCTAGAGTTTGTTTTATAATACTTAAATGTGTATGCTACTTGGAAATTTTAATGCTTACCACCTTCATTTTCTGTATCATGCAGACCAAGCCAAGTGTTTTCATCAATCCTAAGATGAGACAACAAGATGTATTCCTAACAACTTGAATGCCCCACATTGAATAATAAAGGAAGTGAATATCATTCAAATGTATACTATTGGAAAAAGAGTATAACAATTTTATGAAAGAAAAATGAAACAATAAAGGGTAAAATTAAAATCAAATGTATCTATGAAAAGCAAATAACAAAGTTACAGTAAATTATACATCTATCACCACGGTTTCGTAAGTAATAGGGGATACAGCAATCAATATACCTATAAAATGGACACCATTTTATTATTTTATAGAGCACAAAATATTAGGAAAAACTCCTATTTAACATTGCAATTTTATAAGTCAATTTAAATTCCCAATTTTCAATTTTATTTTGCCGTTTTGGACATTCTTTAGCATTCTTTTTTCCCTATTTTCTTATCACGGCACATAATTTTAAAGCAATCGGAAAAAAACTTGACCAATATAAAATATTTTTATCAATAATCTAGCATATTCACTGAAAATACAGCTGTTTGATTCTTTCACGTTCAACTTTATTCAAATATACAGTATAATGTAAATAAATATAAGTATAACTAAGATCATTTTGTTAAGGCATGCTTTATCTAGAACAAATTCGTTTATTATATACTGGTGTGTCTTTTAGAACAATTTCAAAGTTATATATAAAAATATCAAGCTGTTAGTTATTTGAATGTGTATAATATTCAACATCTATAAAAAACGAGTTTCTTTAAGCTAATCGGCTTTAATTGAATGAGTCTAACAAATATTAAAACTGGTTTTGTTCAGAATACAATTCATGATTGCGATGGCAATAAATGAGTTGTTTAAGACGACAGGTATTTATAAAGTATGCCAGACTCATTTCAAATTAAGAAACATTTTTAGACAGAAATTTAATTGCTAACAATTAGCAAATTGAGATTTTAAGCACGGCAAACTAAAATTAAGGATATGAATATAAAAATAATGGTTACATTCTTTTTATAGCATCGTTTTCATCAGCATCATTAATGGTGACCATTGCACCACCATAATGAATACATATCTCACGGGCCACGCGCCATTGTTGTTTTTCATCAGATACCTGAATTCCAAAAAGGAATAAAACATTGACTACCTTTTTTGTAAAGTTACTGTTACATGAATTATATATAAAACACGCTATTAATTTGACTGGTAAAAAATTTGCATTAAATAACTAGAAGAACTTTGTGGTGTAGAAAAATACATGAAGAGGTATCAGAAAAACTCAATATCTTTTCTTAAACGTCTTAATAAAACTCCATATACAAATGATTTCAATTAACCTATAAAGTATTTTCAATTTTCGAATTTCTCGTTTGAAACACTTCGTCTTTATCCAGCATCTCTCTAAGACAGGTACAAGTTGAATTATCACAAAAGGAAAGTATTATGTAGAAATATAAATAAAAAATTCCAAATATATAACATCTTGCCAAATAAAATTGTAATAAACATTTTAAGAACCTCTGCAAGTTGATTCTTGAAAGAAGTTTATAAGTTACGCTGAAGAACAAGTAAATGCCACTCAATCAATTTTCTGATCAAAATGCATAAAATTGTTGAGTTTACTTTGAGTTTACATTGAAACAATTATATTAAATAATGTCCGCTCCGTTTCATCACATTTAAGATGTATATACATGTTCAATGTAAAACTAATCTTATGGTATTTAGAACAAATCGACATACGGCAGACATGCAGCCGTAACGGGTATATTTGTTCTAATAACTTTTACAAACTGTGCCTTTAATCTTAACTTCAAACTCTTTACCTTGTAGCAATGTTGCCCATATGATTGCCAAGGATCTTCGCAAGGTGGAAGAGGTTCAGTTGACGATACTGTTGTTGGAGGAGTCGTGGTGGTGAATCCAGGTCTTGGTACCTGACATACTGATGGTAATTCGGAAGAACAGTTGGTGTGTATCTTCCATAATCCGATAGGTTTTTTAGCTGACATTGCAAAGCAGCCTTCTGTTACTTCGTTAACTTAAAAAAGATTAATGAAATTGTATATCAGTACATCACCAAAAAGAGGCGTAACTCAACTATAATCAGAGTCGCGTTTGTTATAGTTCATAGTATTCAATATACAGTAAAAGTGTAATTTACTGTCTCAATCAAAAATCTGGAAACACAGTGATCCCTCGGAAGCATTAATCACAACAAAATTACATAAGAATTGTAGACTCGGTTTGATTGAGTCTGTACATGAGGGATAATGAATAAGTGCAACATCCCTCACGCCCACTAGCGCCGGCTTGAGTGGTACTCAATTCTCAACACTTAATATAGCTGACATCAATGATTACGAAGGACCAGAAAAATATAACAACACTGAAGTGAAGTACGGGGCAACTTTTTACAGCTGCCACACGGCACTTGACACCTGCTGTTGTGAAGTAAAAATAATATGGAAAAAAGTGATCCCTCGGAAGCCTTAATCACAACAAAATTACATAAGTATTGCAGACTCGGTTTGATTGAGTCTGTACATGAGGGATAATGAATAAGTGCAACACCCCTCACGCCCCCTAGCATCGGCTTGAGCGGTCAAGTTTGATTTTTATTTGTTCACCTAGTCATATAAAAACAGTCTTAAACTAGTGTAACAATTCCATAAATTATTAAAACAATACAGAACACAATGGTTGGACATCCACATTATAACCTTTTACACTCCGATCCAAGTGTATCAGAGTCCGCTTGATATCGTCTATTTGGTATCCATCCCAAGACCAATTTCCATTTGTAACCGACAGTCCTATCCAATAATCTTGTAGTTGGTTTTGCAGTTCACTATCAACAAACGCCTGTATGTACCTGATAGTTGTAACGAAATTATTCTTAAAGAGGCGATTTTGCCAAATATAACAATTTTGAAAGTGATTTTTTTTAAACATGATTTTAAAGATTACACATATTTCTTATATAATGCACATAATGCCAAAAATAGAATGACGACAATGGCAAATTTGTTTTCACATGGAAACAGTAAAATAAATGCTTAAATTTACTCTCAAAATTGAAAGCTCAATGGCATTATAATCTACTGGTTCACATTTTAACAAAATTGAAACCTGTTTGTGACAACTATGCTATGCGTCTCCACCTAATAAGACAATGTCCAATTAGAAGAAATTTCATCACGCTTGATGGGATGTTTTGATTTTTGATTATGATCCAAATTGTGAACCTATATCTTTCTTTACAAGTATCAAGAGATGAATTTTATCCGACTTTTATTACATTTTCAACAGATATTAATACTTACGCATCTCCAACAAAGGCCAATGTACCTCCTTTGGAAACGCAGTTTTTCTGCGCATCAACCCAACTTTTTTGTTCCTTTACATAAACGTAACAGTACACTCCATATCCGTACCCATTCTTCTATAGACAAATCAAGAATTGTGTTCAAATCAATAAATAAGAATACAACAATTTATTATTCAGTTGAGAGCAGGTACAACACACATAAAAACTTGAGGCGTTAGCTTACATAGTTGTCACCTTTACCATTTATTCAGTTCGTGCATCAATGATGTCCTTGTAATGGAACCGTCTATACTTGTCTGTACTATTTTAATCATCTACATTACCTGTTATGTTATAATTTGTTCTGGTTCGGTCTTGTCATTCCATAACTGGTTAGATCAAACAGCGAAAATTCAATTTTTTTTGTGAGATTTAGACTACCGAATTATGAGGGTGAATGATTCAAAGTCGATGTCCTATACCACAAAGATACAGAAACTCAAATTTATTGTTGCTCTTTGCCTTTTAAATTTGTATAAACTTTCTATTTTGTCCTAGAATTTTATTTCAATCTGTTAGTAAATAAATAAATTTAATTGTGACATAATCTTAATTATGTAATTATCAATAATACTGATATAGTTTCGTTCTAGAGAAAGTTGTTTACATACCATAGAACAGCCTTCTTTGAATGGTGATTGAGTTGTTATGGACAAGAGCATCTTTGGCTGTTTACATATAAATCCTGGGAGAGGATCAGAGCACTGCCCATCATTCCATTGGCCATTCTTAAAAGAAATTTGTAATAAATCATCACCTTTCTAAAATATCTGATTTGTTTCAACTTGAAGATACAAATGTGCAATGATTGTTGTAAATTTTACAGTACAAATGTTTAATGTTTGTTATAAATTTCACAGTACATGTATTATACAACAAAAGTCAGCGCATGAAGCCATTCAAATTAAAATCCCATCCCTTTCATTTAAGTGTTGTTATATTTTTGGTCCTTCGGAATCATTGATTAAAAATGTTTATGTAAAAACATCAATAAGTCAAGGCTTAGTGGCGTGGAAGACGTTGCAAGTTCCATATTCATCGTTATTATCCATTATCTCCATTGTTTAGAAAAAAACGTTGAAAAAATTGTTTCAGAAGCATATTTATATACACATATGAAATTTTACTTCAGCATGGTAACAACTTCAATAACAATATACAGGGTTTTTAACTTTGTAAAAAAATGGAAGCTTAGCTCATCGTTTCGTATGCTTTAAATAATTTTAGAAATTTATTTTCTGAAAGTCTGAGTAAAATTATTCAAATAAAAAAAAGAATGAATGAATTTAGATATAAGTGAAAAAAATTTTTTGCAGTGGATTTTTTTAACATATTCTTTGAGTTTGAAAATTGGTTTTCAAAAAGAATTTATAAAAACTATGAACAATAAAATATACAGGATTTTAAACTTTGAAAAAAATTTGGAAGCTTAGCTCATCGTTTTGTTTTCATTAAATTGCTGTTTATACACCACACTTCATTAGAATTTTCGTTATTCGTTTATTTTTTCTTTTGACACCGGTGTGTGTAAAATAACAGGGACATGCTACTTCTCTTTGGAGAACAACCATAAAGATATGAGCTACGCGTTTTGTAACATACAATGTAGTTCACATATTATTGTTTGATTTTATTAACCTGTCAATTCCATACTGATTATACGGTCAATGCACAGAATATATTAATATTCGATAAATGTTCGGTAAATTCCGTGAGATGTGCGCAGTAAGATGTGATTAAATCCATCTTGTTATTTTGACTTAGTTACACTGACCGTTATAGTGCATTAGAGTAAACCACTGGTATATTTTATCTGAATGTTCAACGTGTTGTAGGATCGAGACAGAGTATGTCCAGTATTTTTCTTATTCATTACTATTTTCAACATGTTTTTTAAGTTATGGTTGTTCCGTTTTTAATATGTTTTGCACCTTTTTGTAAATACTTTACATTTGTATATAACAATGTTTAAGAATTAATACTGAAAATTCATTCCGATTAAAATCAATAAATGTAATTATACAATATAAAATGTGACAATTCAGTGTTTTAGTTGGTTCATATCCGTGTAGACAAATTGCAAGCGCTTGACCATTTTCATTAAAATATTCTTAAAAATAAAGATAGAATAAGTCTAAAAAGAATGTCAAAAAAGGGATCGAACCTCGGACCCCTCATGCATTAGGTTATCACTTAACCGACTGTGCTATTGCGGATGTTACAAGAACCTACATTAATCTAGTGAGAGTTTTCCAAACGTAAGTGGTACACTCCATATTAATTCTCGTAAAATAAACGGAAAAAACCGAAGTGGGATCGAATATGTAAATGAGTGCTATAATGTATTCATAATTGACAGGTCAATAAAATCAGACTATATGAAGTAAGACAATGATGACATTTGGTTATATCAGAGGAGATTTTACAATATTCCTTTATAAAATGAACACATTTATATTGAAAAATTGAGTTAGTTTAAACATATTTATTTAACTTCGATTGCGAAACAAGTTCTTGCAACTTATATTAATCACTTTCGAGTCCGCTTCCTGGAACCAACTGGTGTCAAATGAAGAAACATGGTCGTGACCCGATTCGGGCTCGAACCTATGATCCCTGGGTTGCGAGGCAGACACCTTAACCACTAGGCTACCATTCTCCCTTAAAATATTGAGTTAAATATTAATTTCAAGTTAAAACGTATGACACGGCCTTAAGTAAAGTAGCGGAACGTGAAAAAACAGAGGTATCGGGTAGCAAATCACGTGAATGACAACGTTGTAATAGTTCATGTATCAAAATATGACAGAACTATTTTGATTGTATATTATTTATATGACACCATGTTCAAATTTGTAATCAAGAAGACTGACTTGCACGAACATGGCGACGCAGCTTCGAGGTCGAAGGTTAAACCAGAGGGGCTGATGAGTGTTCCAATTCGTATGTGTAACTTCACTATGATCTGACCATCTGTAACTTTGGTCCATTCCAGTGCTTTGCAAACCTATCCAATAACCTCGTGTCGGTGCTTGTAAAAAAGATAATCCTCAGGTAATCCTCCAAGCATTTTGATATTTAAATTTCAACTTTAATTTTTAAGTTATAAAAAGATAAAATGCATAAAATAATCTTACTTTACAATAATAAAAATAAAAATAATTCACCTAGAAGAATAAAAGTCAATTAACAGACCATAAAAACTATGTGTCAGGTTTTTTTTATATAAAAACTATGTACTGATTAGATCTGTCAAATACATTTTTCGTGTATCACGTTAAATTAGAATACCTCCTTGACAAACCCCACATGACATTGCACAATTTCTAAGCATCCATCTTGGGTTTCTTGCACATTCTCCTTGTTTCGTCCATTCTAAACACTTAAAGCTTTTATATCTGTAACAGTTATATGTTCAATTATTTTATACGCTTTCAAATGTTATACCTGTTACAGCTAAATATCTTTAACAAAAATAAGTTCTGATCTATGTTTCACATGTCTTCCGATACAATCGATCAGAATGTAACCAATCATTTAAACGTATGTTCTAAGTATTGAGTAAAAACGGTTTTCACAGTCAATCACACGATTAGCTTGGGTCTTGAACGCAATGCCAATCACCGTTTGCAATTTGAAAAAAAAATGTTTTTTTTCTAACTATCAAACTGAAACGTAATTACACTCAAGGTCACTGTGACCTCTTCCTGTATGCAAAAACGCCCAAAATGATACACATTCTATGATGTTTGGAGGTTATTGTAGTAATTAAGCGTAAACTGGTTTTACATTCATGGTCATTGTGATCCTAATCTTAATCCATCAGTTCCAAAAAAACAGCAGGGATCTTATTTTAAATAAAAGTTATCATCCTATGAAATCTTAAAGCTATAGATTAAATTATTGAACGGAAACGACCAACTGACATACCGACAACTTGCTACAACGACCGACATTTGCAAAACAAAATAAAATCTTGTCTTCAAAAATAAATTTTAATTTAATATTTTAGTTTATACGTTAATGATTTTAAGATAACGTTTCTTACATGTCCCTACAATTGTGCATACAATGTTTACAAGCAAGGTGACAGTTTGTGGCCATCCATACCGGGTTCCGTTCACATTCTCCGAACTCTGCCCATTTGTCACACATCGTATTATTGTGAAATGTATTGAAGCAATAACTATCTTTAATGAACAAATAGAAAAGCAATTAAATTGTACAATTTTATGGCGTTTTCTTTTATTTACTAAGTAATATAAATAATTATAGCATTCGGGTAAACAAAGCAATATATTTATATATAAGCTATTATGAATTTAAAGTTTTCTTTATTTTATCTTCGGAATCCATAGTTTATACATAACTTTTGGAAAAAAAAATATTGAAAGTGCATTCACCTTGAGGAAGCTGACTAAATAGAAAACTTTGCTCATTTTCATCTTTTATACTTGCAAGTTCAGAAACTTCTTTATGACAAAAATCATTTGCACTGTTCCAGTCAAGTTCCTCCTGAACAACAAGATAACAAGAGCCTTTGTGACCTATCCATCCTTTACCAGGGCAACCGTAATATTTATCACCTAAAGAATAAATATTTAAAACTAAATGTTTATATCATAATGTAATGATAATTGAATATTAATAAATGTGATAAGCCTATTGTTCATACATAAAGTTCTTCGCTATGTTAAGGTATTTCTATATAGAGGTATGAGCATCCAATATAATTGAAATCGAAAGTGGTGGCATTTAAACCACAATTCAGTCACACTTTAACATATCGGCCACTGTCACTTAAAGGCAAAGGTCCAATTTACATTCTTCATCACAAGTGTTAACAGGCTCAATCAAACCGAGCCTGCAACATTTTCAATTTTGTCTTGTTGGGCTTTTTTAAGGGATTCTTTATTTATCTCTAGTTGATTGACCAAAGATTTTAATCGAATCTGTATATGGATCCTACACGTATCACCGTTTAATTGAACCTTGCCGGTTAATATAATTTTAGAGTCAAAATCAAATTTGAATTGTTCAACATGTCGATTGGGTTATAAGTGACGTTTATGTGAATATGGGTGAAATTCGTAGATGAATAGCAGCTATAGCAATTATCGCAGTTCAAGCAAGTTTCAATGTTTTTCCGATGACAGTTACAGACATTTTAAGGTCAAGAAAAAAAACTTAAATAATTCAGCATGTCGGCTTTAAGTGTCGTTTTGTCTAAACAGAAGACAAAATATTAAATGAATAACAGTTTACAAAATTTAAGCAAATTTAAATATTGTTTAATTTTATGGTAAAAAGCAGATGTGGTCAAGGTCATTTTTAATCAGTTTTCGCGATTGTGTCGTTTTGTCCAAATAAAAATAAGATCTGTTAATATAATGATTAACAAATTTGTCTAGATTTAAGCAAAAACCAGAATTGTAATCTTCACAGACAAGGTCAGTTTATAGTAAAGGTCAGACTTGTATAATGCAACATGTTGGTTGTTTTAGTTGGTCATTATCATTTTTAGGGCTTGACCGTAGCTAAAGCTAAAATTATCTGCCAAAAAAGCCGAGCTTATTAAAACAGTTTGTCCAACCTTTAGGAATACGCCAATAAGCATCGGTACTCCAGTCCGTTCCAATTGATACATAATTTATGTCGCTTATTTCATCTTTGAATGTTAAGATCATATTCTTTCCAACCTCCTCTGAAATTCCCACTTGAATATGTTTTGAAGTCCATGTTATCCAAAACCAGCTGAAATTCACAATAAGAAAACAAAACATTTCCAGACAAATTTCTTTTTTTTTTTACACAATAAAAATACAAAACTAGCTCGATAACTTACTAAAACCTTCCTCAATCAAAGGAATGAATTGTCTTTAGAGTAATTTAAACACATCAATAAAAGGCAAGTTTTTTTTTAAATCCACGACTTTAACCACTCGATCATGGACGTTCAAAGATAATTCATAATAATAATTAAACGATACAAGAGCCGGTTGAACCCGAATAGGTTTTGGAAACAGGAAGGTATCCCTCTTGTAGTGTCAGAGTTTTGTCACAGACGAAGTTCAAAGTGTAAAAACAACCAACAATTAGCGCTTGATTCGTCGTCTAAATATGGTGATACTTTCCGTGAAATAATTGTAAAATCCGACTTCAAATAACAAAGTTATAGGCCTGACACAATTTTGCTGCAAGGTCATGCTGTGACCTTGACCTTCATTTTAGCAACCCAAATGTTGCACGTGACACGTCGTCTCAATATGGTGATAATTTCTGTGAAATAGTTGTAAAATCCGACTTTTAATAGCAACGTTATAGGCCGAACACGATTTTGCTGCAAGGTCATGTTGTGACCTTGACTTTCAAGGTACGCAAATGTTGCGCGACATGTCGTCTAAATATGGTGATCACTTCTGTGAAACAGTGGTAAAAATTCGACTTCAAATAACGAAGTTATGGGCCAAACACGATTTTGCTGCAAGGTCATGTGACCTTGACCTTCAAGGTAGCGACACAAATGTTGCGCGCAACACGTCGTCTCAATATTAAGATTATGTCTGTGAAACAGTTATAAAATCCGACTTCAGATAACGAAGTTATGGGCCGAACACAAATTTGCTGCAAGGTCATGCTGTGACATTGACTTTCATGATAGCGACCCAAATTTGCGCGGGACACGTCGTCTTAATATGGTGATCATTTCTGTGAAATATTTGTAACATCCGACGACAAATCATAAAAATATTGGCCGGACACGATTTTGCTGCAAGGTCATGGTGTGACCTTGACCTTCAAGGTAACGACCAAAATGTTGCGCGCCACACGTCGTCTCAATATGGTGGTCATTTCTGTGAAATAGTTGTAAAAGCCGACTTCAAATAACGAAGTTATGGGCCGGACACGATTTTGATGCAAGGTCATGCAGTGACCTTAACCTTCAAGGTAGCGACCCAAATGTTGCGCGCAACATGTCGTCATAATATGGTGATAATTTCTGTGAAATAGTTGTAAAATCTGACTTCAAATAACGAAGTTATGGGCCGGACATGAATTCGGGACGTACATACGTGCGTACGGACGGACTGACTGACGGACGTACGGACAACCCGGCGACTATATGATCCCCCAAAATTCTTCGGGGAGCATAAAAATGACGTAACAAGTACTGAAATACGCTGACTCTTCTGGCATAGTATTGATTAAAATAAAGTAGAATATATCTAACAGCATAAGAAATGTTACACGAATATTAAATTAAAGTGATACATTAAGATTGATTGTTATCGTGAAGACGCCCTTCCTTTCAGCATTTTTGCTAAACAGTTTATTAATTGTTGACATTTTAGTATTATATTGTTTTATGTTCTTACGTAAATGTATCTGCCGATACTAATCCAGTTTGTAAATACTCAACACTCTTTCCAGCATGAAATATAATAGACTTTCCACCACACCAACCAGCAATGATTACTTTGTAGACATCATTTGTAAAATCTGTTCGTTTATTCTGCAGTAAAACATGAGCATCTCTTTTAGTTTTCACTGAAAATCTGAAGTAATTCATCACTCGTACACCCATCTCAAACAGGTCAACAGATTTAAAGTCGGCACGATAAGTTGGTTTTTGATAGACCTCCACAATGTCTGTTTCTGCAATATACAAAATAAAACAACATTTTACAACAAAGATAGATGTATAAAATTTAAGTGAAAGCAAAAAACAATGTATGTTTTTAGACATCTGTTTACTTTTTATTTATTACGACACATCATATGGCTGTAAAAATATTGATTTTTATATGACTGTCACATGAAATAAATGAATAAATTAAATAGTATATACAAATATCATAATTTGATCTTTTCATTTGATCTGAATGCACGGATTTACAACAATATAAATTAACGCTTAACACCTTAAACGTTTTAATGTCACAGTAAGAAGCAATTAAAAGTTAACTCTTGAAAAAAAAACCCAGATATATCTCGACAATCTCTATCACCGCCTATGCAGTATTTAGTATTCAATATAATGCTTACTAAGCAATATTTTCTTTGTCGTTGTAACATTGCAAACTCTTTTAATCCAGGGTAAGATTTCATAAAATATATAAAATTTAATACATTAGTTTACCTGCGATATATGGGGGCATCTCTGTAGTAGTGGTGCCATTTCTTTCATCAACTGTATATGAATTTATGATAAAAACATTCTGTAATGATAATGTTCTAATGCGCTTATTTTCAAAAAGGCAAACTTAACTATGCATGTAGCAGATAAAAAGTCATCAATATATTATAAAAAAGGCCTTACATAAAAGAAATTACTGATTCATCTTATACATTGGCTTCCAATGTACATGCATTTACTTTCGGAAACGTGTTGATATTGTCTCATAAAATTCTAATTAATTCGAGAATTGTTCAGAACATTGGTTAACCAACTCAATTGCAATATCAACATTCCACTTAATTTCGTAATAAGAATACTGCTTCTACAATAAGCCTGTACTTAAAGTCATTTTAATAACTCGATGGAAACTAAGCTTACTTTATGTCTTTATGGCTATTTTGTAGTTGGTTGAGCTATTTAACGGCGTTTCGGTTTTAAAGTTTGATTTTTGATGATTCAAATGAACAACTACATATTGTTCACTTCAAATGCAAGTCAATTTTAAAACGTGACAATGCATCATAATATACATCTTTAAAATGACATTTTGCTCGAAAGGAAAACACAATTCAATCACAGAATTAAGTGCTATGCCTTGTTTATTTTGTTACTTTTACGCTTTTACGTTTTGCCTCTTTTGTTTAAAGAATTTTATCTTCATTATAATTATCAATATCTTAAATAAAAAATCGTAATGTCAAGTTCTTGCATCGTACCATTTTTCTTACACACATAACCTTCTTGTTTAGAGCAAGGTAAATCTTCCCATTGACCAAATTTAGCGTTGTTGCCTGTTATTATAACTACACAATCTTCTGCAATTTCAGTTCCATCATTATCGTCTGCGGTCTTATAATAGCTTGGTGCCCCTAATAAATATATAACATTTTATACAGAAAAATTATAACTAGATTTGCCAATTTTCATGCTTTATTTATAAAAAGTGAATCGGGTTATATAACATATATCATTTCCACTTTAGAAATTATTATTGTAGTTTGGTGTATTACCCTGAGCCCAGTTCAAGTAGGCAAATGGTTGTCCATCAGTCCATTTCCATCCTGCCTCAATGTCAATGTCATTAGCACCTATCTACATAGCTTCAGGCACGATGGTAATTCCCTTTAATCGTCCTGAAAAAAATAAAATGCGTCTTTAAATATCTGCTAGGCAAACTTCACTCTTAAACAACATTTTTTTATTTGAAAAGACATGTATATTTACTCTCCTCACATGCATATAATTGTACGTTTTTTTCTTCGAACAAAACATCATTTGGGCATATTAGACAAACAAAGAACTGTTCAAAGTAAACCACGTTTTACTTTGTTATTGTGAACAATAATAAAAGATTAAATATGTTATGAGCAAACTCATGCAATCCTTATCTGACAAACACTATATTATTTGCTTAAAATTAGTTTAACGAAATTTTTACAATTGAACCTGTTAGTCCAGTTTTGGCCTGAAACAATATACCTGCAATATATGACTGTTCCTGATCAGAAGTTATGCTTGCAAGACTACCACCATCCTCGTTACATTTGTCGCTTGCATCAGACCAAGTTGCGAGCTGGATAACAAATTCATAGCATGTGTTTGAATTTGGAATCTTTTCCCAACCAATGCCACACTTTCCTTTAAAACAGCAGAAAAGAAGGTATGCACAAATCTCCAAGACTGTAATTAAGACATTGCAGCATTTATTTTGCTTTGTTAAATCCAGTTATGACGATGATAATATGCCGATGTAACAGTTAAATATTCAACAATACATTACCTGCGGTAACGTTGTCGTAGTCGGGGGTAGAACAGTTCTTGTCACTAAAGATGTTGCTGGTACCGTTGATTTAGATTTTATAGATCTCACAGACACATTTGTTGAGGCTAATGATGTAAGTTTGGTAAAACCTTCACTTGAAACACTTTCTAAAGATGAAGTTATAAATTGTTTTTGAGTTACAGATAATTTTAAACTACATGTCAATCAAGTTATCAATTTATTTAGTGTTTGATTACGGGCTTATGAATTTTTAATTTTTTACTGTAGTATTTTGTGTTTTCTGTGCTATTCCTCAAAATCGTTTATATATTTATGAAAATCATCTTGTCACAGGGTGAGAAATTGTGCAGCCTGACCGGGACTCGAACCCATGACCCTTGGAAGACCATACCGAGTATCTAGCGATTAAGCTATCCTCCCTCTGACACAGTTGCTCGGCTTATAAGTTAAAAGATCAACCCACGCTGTATTGAAACTCGTCCATGAAATTCTCAGGGTTACCTAGTAGAAACTACAGCTGTAACTGAAAATATGCATAGTCTTTTGCTATTTATCAAAGATTTAATCAGCGATGCTAAAAGCAGTTTATGAAACACTACGAAAAGAATGTTATATTCCTTTACAGTTGCCGCCATTTATATGACTGTCCAATTATTATACCGAGCCATAAAAAATTATAAAGGTCGAAAGTTTTTTCTCAAGATACATTTGTATTATTTTAATATGCCCATTCCTTAAGTTTATGTTTATGACACACTAATTAAGTTTTAAGTTTCGGCTTCCTAGTATCTAATTTGACGAAGTTATTGAAGATATAAATTTGTCATGTGCACATTTTGAGATTTGAAAAGTGACTTTCCTGGTCGTTTTTTTCTTCACATTTATTCATATCTTTATAAAAAAAGACAAAATATGTTTCTGTTATTGCTATAAAAATTATATACAAAAAATCGTGTTCAAACGCAATTTTGTTGCAAAGTTCAAATTCAAGCATTTATTGTTGTAAACCTATGCGTCAATCATATTGTTTAAATTGTGTTGATAGAACTTTCCTTTGATGAAATAATTATTTGTAATATTTTGTTTATTTGGAATCCGTCAAAGATAATTACTAAAATGCTAATGAAGAAATAACGGATAAAAAGGAAATAACGTCATGTTTCGTCATTTATTAATTTGAATTTACCATCTTCCCTCTGCAACACGGTTCAAAGGACAGGTCAAAGTAATTAATACGTACAAACATAAAATAAAGGATATTTGTATTATTGCAAGAACAAGAGTTGGTTGTGAGTGAATATCAGATGTACTATTTTCAAGTGAGATGTAGCCCACAATAAAAATAAATAAGAAACTGGTGATATTCGAAAAAAAAAACCCACTTTTTTCTTGTGCTTTTGATACATATAACTGATCTTGCCCATTTACTTCAGCAACTCTTAGCCATAACTCGTAAACGTCCTTGCGCTTCAATATTCATGATGAAAGTTATTAAGAAGTTTTATTATGATGACACACTTTGCCACTACAGTATTTTCAACTTTCATTTCATTTTGATCTCGTCCAACTTTTGTTAAATTAGTTGACAACTTAACATTAAATTATAAAATTTATTTCCCAGATTTTTTTATTAAAGAAGTGAGAAAAATACAATTAACAAGTGCAAACATGTTTTATGGTTGGAAATAAATGTGTAAGAACAAAGATCAACAAAACAGAGCGGCATTTAAAGAATGCAGCCTCTGACAATATCCTGCCACACTGATCCACCCCAAATACAACCAGTAGGGCACTGAACAAAAAGCAGGTGGAGTCATAAAAGGCGGAACAAGGCCTGGTCGTACCAATTAATGATAACAATTGCCAACGAAATTAGGAAACACTTAAAAATGTTAAAGCCATAAAATAATATTGATAAAAGCAAGTAAAATAACACAATTGTATCAAATTGTCCAGGAAATATCTGTGATTAATAAACATGATCCTTTTTAAACCTTTTTGCAGTTTGATATTGATTATAAATGATAGGAATAGTTTTGCAACCAAATTGCATGAAGTACAATTTTGCAGCAATTTTTGGACTTCTCGACGCATTGACCTACAGGTGATACACATAAGCTATCAGATTTACTTACGAAAGTTTTACATACAAAGCTTTTGGAGTACTTTCTTGGTGATTTATCATATAAATTTCAGGATTTCAGTGATAATTTGATTACTTTTAATATTTTTGTAATCTACCAAAATGATCTACAATCATTTATTTTCTATCAGCTATGATAATTGAATTGTGGAAAAAGTATTTTTTTTATCTTACCTAGACAATTCCTTAAAAAATGCAGAAAAATAATATATCCAATTTTCATTTTTGCTGACGTGGATTGTTCAATGTTAACATATGAACAGTACTGAGCACGACGCTTTACTTAACAGTTATATCATATGTTTTTATATGAATTTAGCATATTTAGCTATGCTTCTAATTGTTTATTGTCTCACTCTCAGTGTAACGGTGCCGGCCACTTGTAACGATGCAATTAATTCAAGTGTTTATATTGTACTGCAAGGTTCTTAAAAAAATAAAGAAGACAGCTTAGCTGACACGTTTACTGTTATGACATGGTTTTTTCAACTGTAGTACAAAAAAGGAGTGTGATGGTTGTTTGAACCAAAGGACATAGTTTAAGTATGGTGACAAATAATTTGGCATTCAATGAAATGAATTATCAATGAGTTCAATTGGGCTATAACCTAATTTAAACAACAAATCACTTGTATATACACGAACTTCGCAATATTCCTTTATTTAAAATTATTTAACATTACCTCTGTTTACTTTAAGTGTTTGATTGTTATATAATTGTTTTTGTTTCTATTAAATTTAAAACCAAATATATGGTTTTAAAAGGGGCCTTTTTTAAATTTTAAATTTTTTTTTTTAAATTTTTTTTTAAACCTTTAAAAAAATTAAAAATTTTAAATTTAAATAAAAATGAAAAATTTTTGTTTTTTTTACTTTTTAAAAATTTTCTTTTTTTTCGAAAAAATTTAGTTTTGGGGTAAAAAGCCTTTTCCCCGGCAGAAAGGGGTTGGAATCAATTTTTAAAAATAATAAAAAATTGTGCAAATTCTCAATTCTTAAAAATATTTTTTTGGTCAAAAAAGGGGAATTTTAATTGAAATTACTGAAAATTTAAAGGGGAAAAATTCTGGCCAAATTTTAGAAATCCTTAAAAATTTTAAATTTTTTTAAAAATTTTAAACATTTTTTCAAATTTTTTAAATTTTTTTTAAATTTTAAAATTTTTTTTTCTTTTTTTTTTTTGAAAAGGAAAAATTAAAAAATTCAATTTTTGTTTTGTTTTTAAAATTTTTTAATTTTTTTTATTTTTCAAAAACTGTTTTTAATATTTTTGTTTTTTTTTTAAATTTTTAAATTTTTTTTTTATTTTTTTTTTACTATCAGATGAGAAACATTATTACAGAGATATATTTTGTATAGTTAAAGAACACTTTAATTCAAAATTAAAAAAACAACATATTTTACTACCAACACGATTTTTAATATTAATCCGCTTTTTCAGAAAGCTGTTCAATACCTTTCAATTTAAAAAGAATTTTGAAAACTAACCCAAGGAGTTGAAAAAATTTAATATAGTTATTCTTAACTCAGCTTTTACATAATTCTTTTTTTGTATCGGTGTATTTCAAGGTAGTTGGGGTTTCTTGTGCACACGTCCATGCGCGGTCCAGACGAAGTAATGGTCTCGTGACCTCAATTTAAAAAAAATATTTTCACAAGAGAAAATTGAATGTGCCTCATCTCTCCACAATCTTCATAAACAAATACGTTTTTCTTTGCTTTCAGTCAGTAAAGACATCGGCGGATAAAAAAATACATAAATTCATGATAATATGACTAGATCATTGGTTTGTAAGTGCTTTAAGGTTTCTCTCCGGATGGACAGAGTATGCGGCGTGGAAGAATATCCGCAATGAACGACATATATGTTTAAACAGTAAAGTACCGCATAAGCATACTGCGGTTCGAGAATAGAACAAGATTTCTTATAACAATCAATTTAA